ACTCTAAATCTAAATAGTTAATGTGAACATCTGTGTTTGCAGACAAAAACAGATTGTAGGTAATTATTACCTTAACCTGGTCAAATTACAGACTGACTCAGTCTTACTGCCCTTTTATGTTAGTTGATCTAACCGACAGTGAGTGGTCGCAGACCTGCTCCCCATCTTTAAAGCAACCAATTCAAAGCCCACAAGATTACAAGTTCATTGCACATGCTAACAATAATTTTGCTCTATAGCCACTGTTTTTATTTTATTTTATTGTGACTATAGTATCAAACAGAGTATGAACTGATGGGCAGCAAAAGTTCCCAAACAAGATAAAAAAGGATTATTTTGATCCGTGAATTAGGTAAAGCTAGTCTGTGGAGCTGGATTTGAAAATAAAAATTATGAGCAAATGGCAAAAATTGTGTATCCATGACCAGATACAGCCGATCGATCCTTCCACCCCATTGGCCCATATTTATCATCTGTGTGACAATTTTCAAGATTATCTCAACCTGTTCAAAGTATTTTTTTATTAATGATGATTCAGTTTTAGTCACTTCAGTGTTTCTCACAATTCACTCATTTTTTTAAAGGCTCAGAAATTGAAGTCTTTAAGTTTAAGCTTGGACCACTTTTTTTTAGTGATTTTTGATGGCCCCCAGTGGCAAAACGAAACAGCAGATTTCTTTCAGAAGCAGCCCTTTTTTCTTATTTTTGAAAATGTTGCCAAAATAAGTGGCAGAATGCCCCCAGCCCTTTACCTGATTTCAGTCACCTTTAGAGGTAGATGGTAGTTTGACCTCTGACCTCAGTTGTCAGCCTTTAAAATTACAACTTCACTCGCCTCTGTGATGCCTTGTGATCCACACGTAGCGACCATTGGGAACACACTACACCAGCAGCTTTAAAGTTTTGTTACAAGATAAAATTTCTATTTTTTTCTGGATAAATATAAAAACTACTTTAATCTTTCTGTCAGTGCTGTTGTAGTTTCTATGTATTCAGGGCAGAGCCTTTACTCGCTTTCAGATAGCTAACAAGCATTCAGACAGAGAAGCCATCTGATAAAAATCTGATATAGTCGGTTTAATCTTTCTAATGTTTTTCTCCTACAGGACGAATCAGAGTAAATCCAGTCATCAATATAACGGCAGAAAATATGACAACTGGCAGGAGAGAAGAAGAATAATTTAAAAAACAAAACAAAACACTAATCTGTCTTTTCTTGGTGGTATAATTGTAAAGCTGTGCTTCTAAACTTATTTGATCATTGAGTGGTGGGATTTTTTCAGTAGGCCAACCATGCACTAACATGAACTTGTGTTAACTTTTAATTGATTGATAGAAGAACATTTTATGGGATAGGACAGTTTGGGTCACTCTGTCAGTGAAGAAGTCGATGAGAGTGACAGTGATGACCCCAAAATCTGATCTGAGCAGCAGTTAGGGGGTCAGGGGTCAGTTAAGGGTCAGACATATGTGCTGTGTGTGGAAAAGCAATAGCTGTTTATTGTTAATGTGAATGATAGCGTATATGTGCGTGTGTGTGTCAAGAGCTCGGAGAGGACTTCATGATAACCTCATGTAAAGTATCAGCATGCAAAGGTCCTTCGAAAGTCAAATGACAGAAATGTAGCATCCACTTCTGATTCAATGTCAGACATACAGAGACATACAATCTCACACACAGACTCACCTATGTATGTATGAGCACACACATTTGTTTGGTTGTTGGATTATTAAAAGCTTATATGAAGATTAAATTGGTGTTTTTCCCAATTAAAATAAAATGTTTCAAATAATTTGTTCGCCTAAATCTCCATGAGCATTCACACTGGAAAATGTTGAATTCCCTGACTGGTTGACAAGTGGTTGCTGATAGTTGCTGGCTGGAATTGGGCTAAACTGGTCATGAAGAAAATACTACACCAACAATTCCATGTAATTGCTTTGATTACTAGCAGACTGCTGCAGTCAGCTCTCGTTTGCATGGATCATTGTGACTTGTCTGCAGACACTCGCTCTGTAGTTTTCACTCTGTAGTGAAACCTGAAGTGTTTGCAGACAGGTTACAGTCTTCCACACAAACGCCTGGCAACCTGCTAGCAATCCAAGCAATCAGGAGGACTTCAGTGCAATCAGAAGTGCTGGTCTGTTACCATTTTATACTACTAACTAACTGCCAGGAACTTGCCCCAACAAATTACCAAATGGTCTTGGAATACCAGTTGGAATGTTCCTAGCAAGTGGTCACTGACCAGGTGACTGGCTTTAGCAACTGATTTCACAGCAACTGGCACAAGATGAAATTGGTCACAAAATTACGATGCACCAAAAACATTCCTAGCACTGCTTTGATAGCTAGCAGATTTCTGCAGCTGCCCAGAATTTGTGTGGAAGTCACCCACTTGTACCCAAATACTTACCTACTTACCAAGTAGCAGTGAAACTTGCCACAACCATACACAAAATACATATTTTTCCATGGCAAACGGCGAGTTTCTCTTACAAAAAGAAAAAGACCCACAGAAATTGGGTGAAATTCTCTTAAATAAACATTAATAAAAGGAAAGATCTCTTTGTTGATCTCAACAAAGAGATCAAATCTGACCTAACTCGGTGGTCTCTCCTCCCTTTGGATATGAGTAATAGAATAGAAATAATTAAAATGAACGTTCTGCCTCGAATCCTCTATCTCTTCCAGTCACTACCCCTGGAGATACCCCAAAAACAATTTGACGAGTGGGACAGATGGATCTCACGGTTCGTCTGGAATGGCGGAAAAGACCGAGGGTCTAGTATAAAACGCTGCAATTGAAAAAAGAGAAGGGAGGGAGAGCTTTGCCGTGCTTACAAGATTACTACTACGCCGCACAACTGAAGCCCCTGGTAAACTGGTGTTCCCCAAACTATGAAGCTAAATGGAAAAATATGGAAATTACACAATTAGACTTCCCACTACAGTCACTTTTAGGAAATAAGAACCAAGCTGAAAAATTTTACAAAGATTTGAACCATTTGACCCGGTTCACCCTGAAACTATGGTTCAGGGTTGTGGGGAAACTACAAATAGAAAAGCAGGCTAAGACCTTGAATTGGATAGCTTATGACCCGGAGTTTGTACCTGCCAGGCTGGATGGGACCTTTAAACAGTGGACTCTGAGAGGAATTACTTCTTTTTGTTCACTAGCAACAAATGGGGGATTCCAAAGCTATAAAACCATCTCAGATACATACGGATGGGCAAAGCACGACTTTTTTAGATACTTGCAGGTTAGAGACTATTACAACAAGACGTTGCTAATCAGAGATGAAAACGAATACAACCTAATTCATATCTTTCAAGAGGCATACAAGAGAAATGACTCTAAAAAGATGGTCTCGAAAATATACGGTAGTATACAAGCCTCTAAAAATCACTCTACGCTGTACATTAAGCATAAATGGGAGAGGGAATCAGGCTCACGAATTTCGGAGGACAGCTGGTGGGGAATATGTGAGTCTCAGGCTACCACTGCAAATTCAAGGTCCTTAAGAGAGTTTGGTTGGAAGAATGTAGTGAGATTCTTTAACACTCCGAAACTCACAGCTCGGCAAACAGGCTCACAGAGCCAGGGCCTATGTTGGAGAGGTTGTGGAACCCCTATGGCAAACCATTTTCATGTCTTCTGGGCCTGCCCAAGGATCCAGCCATATTGGGGGGAGGTGGCCCTTGAGATAAACAAAATAATTGGGATTACAATAGACTATTCATTTGATACGTTGTATCTTGGCAAATTGCCTACGGCACTCCCACATAAAGATATTTATTTATTGAAAATACTTTTGGCTGGCTGCAGGAAGGCCATAACCCGAAGATGGCAAAAGGCAGACCCTCCAACTAGGGCCCAATGGCGTGGGGTAGTGGAAGAAATTTTTGGAATGGAAAGGCTTACCTTTGTCCTTAGACTCGAGCTCGAGAAATTTAAGAAGCTCTGGGAAAAATGGGTTGTGTACTCCCCTTTGCACTGAATAAATGAATATTACCATGATGTAAGTAGATGCTATTACTGGAACTGTGAATGTCTCCCATGCTGACCTTAAGTTTTGTATTCCCATACTGTACTGTAAAATGATAAATAAAAAGTTATATAAAAAAAATAAATAAAAGGAAAGATCAGACATGTTTCTGCTAAAAGCAAACTATGGCACAAAATTCTGCCCATAGCAAACCACCAGCTCTGAAACCAAAGGAAAGTTCACGACCCTGATCACAGATGTACCGAGTGTGCCCGTTCAGGCTGCTCAACAGTCTGTAAAGGAGCATCCACACAGTGAGCAATTCACTCATATCTTAGGCTCCAGTTGCCTAGGTAACCCTTTAACGTATTTGCCACCCCGTCATATGTCGATCAACTGTATCTATTTTTCTTATTGGTGAGTCAGGACCTGGTTATTTTGTGTCACCAGCAGTTATTCCAACCAAGGTAGCTGTTATAGTCCCTAGTTGACAAGTTGACAAACCACTTCCTTCTGGATGCCCCCTAAGTGTTCAGATGTACGTACATTAATACAGTTGTATAGCGGCCAAAAGACATTCCTGAGGCACCAATCATAGGCCACCTTTACACATGTTAATATGACAAAAACAGAGGAGGACTGCATGATGGAGGTTGATGACAAAGACAATAGTTTGATCCACACTCTAACCTCTGATTACAGGAAGCTCCTTACAACAGATGTTCGCCCTCTTGGTCAGCGTAGAGAAACAGATCTTTCTTCTCAATTTAAATTTAAAAGGTCGAACACACCATTTTCCATAAGCATTTACCACAGTAATAGTGCAAATAGTATAGTATATAAAGGATGAGCTAAATTGTATGTGTATGCGTATCGGCACTAAAATGTACAGATGATGAGGAGGAGAAGAATAAAAGGTGTCTGGAGATGAAGTTAAAGATCAGAAGAGCGATATAAGAGATGTTAAGGAAAAGGGCAGAAAGAAAGAAATGAGGGAGCCAACAATAGACTATGTTTCGTGCCTACATGGCATTGCTTTAAAAGACCAATCATTTTACATTTTATTGTACACAGGCCCATTGGAACACATGCTTTAATGATCATAGTCATAATTCAGTTTAATAAAAGCATGGAGTTACTGGCCTACAGTGATGATTGCACTCTCCTTACAGAAAATAATTAAATAAAACAAATAAATACATCCCACTCGAAAGAAACCACTAAATGTGACTTTTAAGAAAAGAAAGTGTTTAAATATAACAATCAAATGGTAAAAAAAGGGGAAAAAAATCCCACTCCCACCCAAAAAAGGTAGTAAGTGTTGTGTTTTTTTATGTACAAATTTCACATCGATGTACATGAAAGGGTGCAGGGTGTTCAGTGCCACACAGGATTGGGTGGACGGAGGGGTGAGATCATGCATGTCAGGTGAGAAATAGAAACACCCCCCCTTCGCACTCACGTGTCTGCTTTTCCTTTAAAAAGGCAGCAACAATAACAAAGTATTCACATTTTCACTGGTGACAAAAATGTTATGCTTTCCCAAATAAAGAAGGTCAATGCACATGATGGAAAGAGTTGCTCTAAATACAAGTTTCTATGGCCATTAGTCCATTTTGTCACTCAGACCTGTGAGCTTTGTTTACACTAGCACCTCAGCTGGGTCTGTCTAAGGTGCAAACAGGCACATTTCTGAGATTTTGTTTGACAGATACCTAAACCATCACTGAGAAAACCTTTTAATTTATTATACTGGAAAATAACCAATACCTGAAACACAATCTCTCAATCAGCTCAGGTTAAATTAGGTTAAATGAAAAAAAAACCCAAACAGCTATAATAACCCTGAAATATTATGTAAATGTTAAAGGAACATTAGAAAACAAAAAACCCTCAAATTTACTTATTAAATCTTTATCTGTTCTCTTTTCAAAAGTTGGTTACAGGGCAGATAAACTGTTATTTGAATCAAAAAGTCAATGCTAGCAAGCTAGGCTAATTTCCTTCCATAGTAAAGCAGGCTAACTAGTTTTTACTTAAAAAGTTGACATTAGTTAGCCTATCATGCTAACATCAATGATAATTCCCGCCATGTTTTTATTAGTGTCGTTATTTGTAATCGAGCTTTTACTTTCTTAACACTATTGTATCAGTAAATAATGACTACAGCTATGTGAGAACTGGAATAAACAAATTCTTTTTAAATTATTCATATTTAAGAAACTAAAAATGTAACATTGGCACTAATTTCTGCCACTCTTCAGTTATGTTACCTCCATTATCATACAGCTATTAAATAAAAATAAATGATTATTTTATCTGATAACATTAGTTTTCTTGATCCTGTTTCAATTATGGTAAATGAGCTATCTAACAAATGAAATTTAATTTATGTTCACTTTTATGGCATAACAAAAAAAAATTCAGCTATTCTGTCATTGACCATCCTCTGCCAAGTTCTACACAAAGGTAAATGGTAGAGTGAAAAAGAAATCTGTTTTACACGTGAAACTGATCTCTTAGAGAATAAGTTCAGGACACAAAATGAGCAAGATTTATATTTTCCAGCACTGAGAATCCGCAAAATCAGATCTTTTGAGGTGCCAGTGTAAATAAAACCTCATTTATCCACACGTCTGTGAAAACAACAAGCTCACCTCTAAAAAGTCTTTTAACCCTGCTTTTTGTAGCTCCCTGGCTACCACCCCTCACTGAATTTTTTTTTTCACTTTTAATGCAAGAAGAAGCCACTGGTGGGATATCTGCCAGTAACCGCTCTCCTGATGCTGAACTTTACAGTCCAAGGAGGGGCAAGGCACCCGTTTAAACAGATTCCCTGGCCTTCAGAGCAGTTGGCCGCTTGAAGTAGTGTGTCGTCCAGCACCAAGGGTGGCAAAGGGTTTTCCCCTCTTTAAATGTGACAGTTATGAAATCTTTCCTCATTTCAAAGAGGATGTATGTAGTCCGGATGGCACAGAGAGCAAATAGAGGATCTCAGTTTGCTGTGAAGGGTCATTACCTCCCCTTAAAGACAATGTTGACTGGACCTTTAATTCGACTTCCACTTGCTTCTGTAACATCAGTGGTAGAAACTATTAACAACGAATCTTCATTATTTTTGTTAGAACCTGAGGAGGGTTTGCACTGAAGCTCCAATCCCTGGTTTGAGTTGAGATGGTGGCAGACAGGTTGGGGATGAGTCCAGCAGGTTGTTTTGGGCTTCCACATCAATCTTTAAAATTGTAGCTGCGGTTTTTGTGATGTTAAGTACATGCATGCATTTGTGCGTTTGGACGATGAAAAGAGGTCAGCTAACCTCGGCACCACACTGGTGGCTCCAGCAAGAGGTTTATAATCCAAAATTTATTTAGGGAAACAGTCAAATGTGTTTGCATTTCAGGTAAATCCAGCCCTACATATTTTTTCCATCCTCTTAGGTGTGTAATGGTTTGTTCTAGCACAGGTGTGATTATAGAGACGTACATCTCTCTGGGTAAGTGGTATGTTCAGGCATCTGGGAGGTTCTGGAGTGGTTAGACCCGTAGCGAAGGTCCTGCTGCTCCAGTGAGTGGCGTTGTGGATCCACAGTCATAGCCCATCTCCACTACGGCATGGGAGCCCCCGACTAGCCGGCCTGGAAAGGGCTGTGCCTGTACCTGCCGATCTCTAAAACTCTGGATGTAGCTCTAGAAAGAACAAAGAGTTTATAAAGTTAGTCTGGTTCCTTCTTTTTATTGCCAGTCTTAGCAAATGGCAGGATAACTTCAAAATCACTACTTGCCCAATTGGTTGTCTCTAAGCTATTGAAATGTGTTGGAAATTTGATCATCTGGTTAAAACAATGTTTGACTGTGGTCACATAACCTACTGTTACCTATTTATTCTACACAATGCCTGGTTTCAGGGTCCTTGGCTGAAAAACAATCAAAATCATCTCCCTGCTTCACTATTGGTATGAGTTGTTTGCACTGATGGTGCTGTGCATTATGGCCAAAAATCTTCACTTTAGTCTGTCTAACGGACATAATACAGAAATCTTTTGGTTTGTTCAGATACTGGATCAGATTATTATTATCATGATATGTAAAGCCTCAGAATTCAAAGAGACTTTCTTTTCAGCAAAGGGTGAGCCGAGTGGGAATTCTAGTTTGCTAGCTTGCTATATTGGTTCACTAGGTAACATGATACATGACACTTGTGTATATTTTAAAACAGAATAAATTTTAGCCATCAGTAAATCGTGTAATGGACCAACAAAAAAATATATATACAACTGATGTTTACGTTTTTCAGTGACAGCTCACAAGGGGACAGTTCGCCAGCTAGCTATAAAGTAACTTAATTAAATGGTAGATATCTGACAATGGTACTTGATCAGTCTTGTTTTTAGGATATTGATAAGCATTTAGTATATATGATTTAGGACAGTCTTGTCTATATCTTATTATTGTATAATGACCTTGAGTATAGTTATATAAGGTTTCACACTGATTTCTATTTTTTTCTAGAATTCAGTGACAGACTATTTCCTTTAAATAACTGTGCTATTTGTTTCAAGGCCAAAAATTTTCATTCAACAGTATGATTACTGGTCCTCACAGGAGAGAGGACGTCGGTATCGTAGCGGCGGATAGGGTTGGGTTTGCGGCGGTAGGCGGGCTCCGTGTGCAGTTGTTTGGATTGGTGTTGATGGTGTGAAGAGGAGCCATGTTGCTGCTTCTTCTTCTTCTTGTTGCGGTAGCGGTCATCCCGCTGGCGAATGCGCATCACCTGCATCCTCCGCTGCTGGCGGCTGATGATTACTGAGGAGAACAAAGGGAGGCTAATAAGGAAAGATGATTTTTTGCTTTTCAAAGCTAAAAACAGAGGCAATGTTGATATCTATCTATATTCTATATACTTTTCTATGTGAAAATTAGGTTCATCTTATTAAAAACTTAGGGGACCTTTACGGGTCCTCTTGAGGAACTCAGATCAGATCAGATTTGAGTTTTGAAGAGATTCTCACTTAGATGTACGACATCTTAAAAATATTCGACCCTCAGATAATTTTTTTTAAATTAATGCATTTTGTCAGAAGTGAATATAACATATACTTCTGCTGAAAACTGCTGAAGTCTAGTCAGGACATTACAAGCTGATACAGGAGTTCCATTAAAGAGCAACAAAAATCAGGCTTTTATTGTATTTGTAAATGCTGCATTTAGAACCAAATCACTGCAGAAAAGCTCCAGAGCTGCTCTAAAATTCTAAGAATATGTCAACTATTGCCTGGTCTCTTGGTGTATCTGGGCAATGATGTCTAATATTTTGTGTGTAACCAGCGGATATCCAGGTTAAGACTTCCTGTTGTGTTCACCTTTCTTGGTTTATCAATTTTAAAAAGCTAAGAAAAAGTGTAACCATCCTCAGATCATTGATGTTTAAATTTCAGCATGCGTTTTCCTTTTTCCCTCTTAATAAGAGAGTTTTTACAAGCAAACGAGCAAAGCCTGCTTAAACTTGATTGGTCAGTAATACTTGGCCAGGGTTAAAGTAAAATTTGACAGGTGGGGAAATCCAAAACTCTGGTATAGCTGTCATGGACCTCGAAATAACTTATTGTTGGTTTAGCTAATTCAATTCTATATTTTACATGTCCCAAACACATTTAGTTTAGACTGCAGATGTAATAAATGAACATTAAATCATTTGTTTTGGTGTGAGATAATTCTCACATTTTAAATAAATATACTGGAATGAACCCCCTGCTCTCCTTTAGACTCAGTCCTGCAGGTATGTCTTCTAGGAAGAAAAATGGTGAACTGCTACAGTCAGCAGCAAACCAGAGCCAAGCACCACAAATATACACTGGAACCAGCTTTCCTCACCCTTGGTATGGGAGTATCCTTCAGCGGTCACCTTCCACTGGACCACGACACCCAGCAGGGTGAGGGCAGGCCACACTCCGAGGACCACCCATGTCATCCAGCACACAGGCTTTCCAGACTCTGCTTTAATCCGTTCATACATGTACAGCACAAGGGCAAAGAGCTCCACGAAGTAGTCCAAAGCCACCGTGATGACAGCTGCCCCGAACACCGCTGTAGACAGCGTTGTAAACAGACGCTGCCACTGCAGGGTGAGCACAGCAAACAGCATGCCCAGGCCAAGCAGCACGCCCAGAGGCACCCAGACAGAGCGCGGCGGGCTGTCAGAAAGCTCCTCCATGCCGACCAGGGTAGCCACGGCCACCAGCAGGCCAAGCAGCAGGCCCACCATGAAGAGGCCCACGCTCCGAACCAGCATGGTGACCAGGCCGCAGAGCGTCCCGATGCCCAGGCCAATGCCCACTGAGGCCTCCACGCTCAGCTGGGTGTCCAGCACGCGCTCCTTGTAGCAGAGCATAAAGATAACGACGGAGCCGAACATCAGGCCCGTAAGGAACATAACCGCCTTGAAGCAGCGATATCCTGAAAAAAAAAAAGAGCCAGAAACACATGACCTCAACAACAGGTCTTAAATAGAACAAAGAACAACTGCTGCTGCTGCATTAACATCACCTGTTCAACTCACCAAAGAAACAGTAAATGATGCCAAAGAGACAACACATCGAGCAGACAACGGAGGGAACCACTTTGTAATGCCCACGAGCGGCCTCGCAGCCGTCCATCCGATCAGGGCCCAGCTCCAGGTCAGGCTGTGCCAGCATCGTCTCCAGTGTGGTTGTCATCGTGAACAGGTAGTAGAGAAAAGGAAGGGGAAGGAGGACAAATGGAGGAGGAGAAAAGGTGATCAGGAGGGAGGTGAGGGGCAAGCGAGGTTATGGAGCACTGTCCAGGTCCATGGTTTTACCTGCGGATAGAGAAGAAGAAAAGGGATAAGGCAACAATATAAGAGTTGAAGTTAAGCACTGTAGAGCCCACCAAATGGAGGTCTGCACTAGCTGTGAAATCACCCTTAAAGGTTTTAAAACTGACATGATGCATAAATGCATTATTGAAAACAGTAATACAAACCCAAGAGGGTATGAAGATGCACAATATGCTGTGAAACTTAGCCAACACGTTTTTTTTAATGGTTGTTTTCCAGCGAGTCAGTCTCAAATAGTCCTATTTTTAACAGCGTGATTTCCCAGTCTGACATATAAGTTCCATTTCTAATAGGTGTTCAAAACCCACATTGTTCACCCGAATGTCTACAACTCTGTGCTCTGTGTTGATGGCCGCTAATTCTGCATGACCCAAATCTTTCATCTGTTGGTTTACGCGTTTTGTTACCTGGGATTTTGAGTATCCTTACTTGACTTCAATCCATTTGATGTTTGTTCTGTTTCCTTTTACGACAGCCTTTTACAATCTGCTGTAGCAGGCTGCCAACTTAACTGAACAAGCTATATTTATTTATTCATGCAGCACTCTTCAGAGGCACCACAGTCTCTAAGACAGACAAAAATGTAAGCAAAGAACAGGACAGGAGATCCCTTCAGTTGAGCAAGTAACGCTGTGATCTTGTGTTTGACAAATTTGTCATTAACCTACTTCTCTTGCAATTTCTAGTAGCTGTTTAAAGAAACTGGTTCACTGGCATGGCAAGAATTAAAAACAAAAAAGCTGTGTGATATAAACACTCACCAGCTTCTTCACCGGGCAGACCTATTTAAATAGCTAATCAGCTTCCAGCTCAGATCATCTCAAACTCAAATGGCCTCCACGGTCACTAGATCTCAGTCCAAGACAGGATTTTAGGATGTGGGGGAGAGGGAGATTATCATCTTGAATGAGCACCAACTATATGATGCCATCATTTCAACATGGAGCAAAATCTCTGAGCAATGGTTCCAGCACCTTGTTGAATCTATCCGATGAAGAATTAGAGAAGCTCTGAAGATAAAAGGGAGTCCAAACCCAGAACTAGTGAGGTGTTTCTGCCCAAAATACTTGAATTGACTGAGCTGATACAATATACATGTGCTGCAAGCAGGCTGGATCTAAGCATTCTTATCCATTCAAGCGACCTCAGCGCTGCCTGTACAACCTCTATAAGCATCCTCATACATTATTGGTTTATATTCGTTTATCTGTAACAATGCAGTGATTCATTGCATTTCATTAAGTGATCAATCTTCCCAAAGGCTTCACCAGCCACTGCTTTGTTTACTTTCCTCGTCTGCATTCCAGTGCAGGCCTCTGTTTGAAGCTCAGGTAAATAAATTCGCCTTGCCTTTGTCCTTCTTCGCGCCGTCCTCGTTTGTTCTTTATTGTTTTCCTCTGCGTCTGACTGTGCACACCTGTCAGCAACCACCAGCCTCGACTTCCTTCTAAATCACTCTCACCTCGTCTTTCACCTCATTTCCTGCTGCCTCCATTATTCAAATCTCTATCTGTCCTTGCCTGCTCCCTCCACGTCCCGTCTAACCTTTCATTCATGTGTTTTAGTCAATATAACTCTCACGCTAACGAAATGCTTCATAGTAGTGTCGCTAATCTAAAAGCATGCACCTATGCACAAGTCACAAACTATTTAATTCACAATACACATACAGCTGCTGTAAAAGGATGTACACATCCGTTAAACAAATCCCCTCCTCTTTCACCTCCTTCCCACGCCTGCTCTCTCCTCCGGCTGTTTTCGTCCTCTCCATCTCAGGGCAAGTTCAGTCCGGTTGTGGAAGGTTTCTGGGTCAGAGGTGCTTATGTAACTCCTGTCTGGGGAACTTTACTCTCCTATTCATGAGCTCTCCTCTCCTTTTCCTCTTGCCTGCTTTGTTTCCCTTCTCGCCTTCAGTACCTCTAGCTCCCGTCCGCTCCCTCTCGATCACCTGGTTTGGGTGCCACTCCTTTTCCCAGCCTTCCCCCACTTGCGTCATTCACTTTCCTCCCTCAGGATTTGATTAATTACCTCCCTGAGGTTATGAAGGGGTTGATAAAAAAACCAAAAAAAAACCCAACATAACTGGAAGTGAAAACTGCTTTGGCATGTTTGACAAAGTGCTCAAGACTGGAGCCAAGTACTAAAACATTATTATCTCTGGCTCCTGTTGCTCTGTATTTGATCTTTGATCTCTCTTTTTTTTTTTTTTTTTTTTCTTTTGTGTCCCGTTTGGATCTTTAGCCATCAGAATTGTTGTCTTAAGGCCAAGAAAGATGCCAAGCGGATTTATTTTACCAAGTGGATCATCATGGCCTTGCCATATTGGTCCATTTGATTGACCTTTATTATAATTATGAATTTATTTTATTTTCAGTTGCTACAAACGGGACAGACATGACTGGGGGATAGGACAGGGAGAGAGAATGAGAGAAAGAGAGGGAGAGAAAGAAAACCAAAGGGGAGAAGAGACGGTGAGAAGGGGGGGAAGAAAGAAAAAAAAATCTCTCTTGATCTCTCTTCTCGAACGGCAAAGTAATTTTGTAAAGTGTCAGAACTTTTCTGCATAACGTGGAAGCACTTTCACATTTAAGGAAATTAACTCTTGTCCTAAAAGTTTTTGCTGCAGTGCTTGGATTTTAATAAAGTTAACAAGTACAAAAAGTACAACGTATTTACAATGCAAGATGGGGAAATTACCATGAAACTGAACAAGTTACTTCAAAGTACTCACATTATAATTTATGTTCCCATTCTTGTAAAATACAAGAAGTTGTGCAATACCTAAATTAAATTACACAGGTTGTTGATCAATGGTCATGACAATTTGCATATTAATGATCAAGTTACTGACCTCACAGCCCATTGTTCATTCAGTGGGCAAGGTTTAGTTATTGTGCAAATGTACTGTTTCTGAGGTCGCAGAAACCTGCAGTCAGCTGAGACTGAAGAAGTCACTTGGATGAGTGATGAAACGTTTCTCCCACTGAAAACATTACGTCCAAATGAACAGAATCAACTTTTGGGGTTAATTACACAGTACTTTAATATATTTACAGTATAATTATTTCTTCGTTTCTTGTCAAATAAAACTGGATTTGTTATCATCATAATTTAGTGCGAGTCACCTACACAATATTTGTATGTAAATACAATTACATTGTGATTTTAAAATAAAGTTGAATTCTATTGAATTACAAGAAAATTATACCCTTAGCCTAATTATATAGTGTCACCTACAATTATTAATTATATACTACAGTATACCCCCGTGAAGTCGCGGTTCAAAGTTCACTGCCTCAGTCTCTTGTGGATTGTTCTTGTTTGTAGAAACGCTCGCAAATTTGCAGAAACCGCAAATATCCTCCATAAATTTTTTATGGCAATATCTATTTTTCCATGCATTTTAATGCTAAATTATTGAGAATTTACTAAATAAATAATACATTTAAATCAAGTAAATTCGGTTAAATGTTCTGTTCTGTCAAAAACACAGCTTGGAAAAAATGCCTTTGAGAGGCGGTAGGTTTCAAAGTAGCCTAATCCTATTGCATCAGATGCAGTCCACCATTCCCACATCAGAAAAGTTTACCGCGTGTAGCTATCTTGAGTGTTTCGCTTTATGTTTTCATGTTTTTTATATGCATTTAAAGCCCTGAGATGCCACATATTTAGGGTTTAAACTATAACAATAGTTCACTTTGGGATTTCTTACTCTTTGCTTTATTAAGATGTTTTATGTTTGAGATTTGGTTCTTCTAATGTTGTTGAGTTTAAGGTTTCCCCAGTTATGTCTGCATTTGCTTTCCCTCTGTGTGTCTTGCTCCCCCTCCCTCTGTGTCTTGTCTTAGCCGTGTGTTAGTTGTTTCCATGTTTTCCTCCTTGTGTCTCATCCTTGGCTCCCCTGTCTGTCATGTGCATCCATGTGCAGTATTGGGACTAACGAGTTATTAAGTAACTATGTTATTATTGTGGTAACGAGCACGGTAACTAGTTATTATGCCAAAATCAGGAACGCGTTACTCGTTACTGGGATTTAGATAGGCTTGTTATTCGTTACTTCGTGTGGTGGCTATCGTGGAGCTTCCACAGATTCAGTAACATTAGCAAGTGGTGGAGGCCAGCAGGTGGATGAAGGAAAGGGGAGGCAGAAGGAAAAGAGACCCAAACTTCAGGTAAGAAGTTATGACCTGCAGTCTCTCTGGGTCAGATATGAACCAAGTTTAGGTGGAGTTTATTTTCGTTATTCTGACTTTTTCCGTACTGCTAGTGCTAGCTAGCATGACGGAGTTTCTATATAGCTGGGTGGTGCTATGAAGTTAATGATGTTGAACTTTATTTTGTTCATAAGTTATTAGAGTTGCCAACCGTCCCGTCTGGTATTCAGAGAAAATATTACGCGTTTCTTATTGAGGTGAAAAGGAACAGTTTGTCCCGTAATTCAGCTACAATGAAAAAGGCACAAAGCTGGAGTTATTCTGTGTCTTTGCTGCACAGCTGCCTCTTCTTCTTTCATTCTCCCCCTCCCTCTCCCGTTTCTACTTCAATCATGAAACTGATCAATGATCAGCTGATCGGCTTTCTCTCTTGTTTGTTTATCGCTCACTTTGCGCCGAAAGAGGAAACCAGCGGATGTCGCGCTAAACAACAGCAGCACGTTTAAGCTTGATCAGCTGTTGTTAGAATTTATTTAATATTAATTTCTAGTATCAGCTGATGTTTGCTGGAGCCACAGCTGTAAAGCTGCTGGTCATGATATGGTTTGGTTATCTGGTGAGAGGGAAACATGAAGATGAAACCAGGAGATGTCCTTACTGGATCATCAGAGCTGTGATGGAGAAACAGGTTTACCTTTTAGGTGACATGAATGAGTTGAAGGGAAGTTATGAACTGTTTCTGAGAGACAAATAACACCAGGATCCTTTTTTATGTAGCTGACAGCTGGTAACTGTGCAGGGGCGGGTCTAGCAAAGTGTTGCCAGGGG